ATAAAACAAATAAAAATTTTGAACTGTTAAAAAAAAAAGTAGGTCTGAGATTGGTATGATTCTTAGAAAGGGGTGAGTCACAACTTTTTTCTCACTTAAGGCACACAGAAAAAACAGAAGAGGGTTGAATGTGCTAATAAATATATCGCACACATGTACATACGTGTATGTGCTAGAAGGCCCAAATACCCCACTTTCCCTCTGCAGGGTAGGCCTTGTGGAGACATAAATTAAGATGAAGACTATTCTGAGAACATGGAGAAGTTCCAGATTAAGCAACAGAGAGCTGGTAATCTACAATTTTAAGAAGTGAAAGGTAGAAATCTGGGGAGGAGCTGACCCTGCAGAACCCACTACAGCCTCCTCCAGTCTACCCCATCATGGCCAGCATAGGGAACAGAACCTATTCAGGGCCGGCAAGCAATGGCAGCTGAAGGGGTAATAGCACTTGTGCTTCCCTCACAGAGCAAAGTCACCTACTATCCCCAATACCCAAAGCAAAACAAGGTCTTATCCCCCTGTGTAGCTGTTCATGTCCCAGCCTACATCGTAACTTGGTAAAGAGGAAAAAGCTATTTCTAAAACATGGGCTGATATTTTTGAATTTTTATTGTGTTGTCTTATAAAAGTTGAAAGCAGAATAGCAGGCAGAGCCCCAGGCTGCATTCTGAGGCTGCACACCTGGAAACATATGTTCTGCCCAGGATTCACAGGCCTTTGCCAACACTAAGTGGGAAGAGCATTGCTTGTTCTGGGAGCCACATGCTCCAGCATCAGTGCTCTGAAGAGGTGGAGAGTCCTGGCTCAGCAGCATCAGTGGCTGAGTTCACCTCTAATGCAAGTGCTCTCATAGCCTTTCATTGCCTTTCTTCTTTGCTCAGTATGCAGGGGATTACAGTTAGAGTCTAGGAAATGCTTGCCTTTTTTCTCCAGCTGTGCTGGGAAGGCATAGGAAGCTGCTTATCTGGGGGGGGGGGGCGGCGAGGAAGGGCTAAGAAATTGGCCTGAGAATCTTTAAGGGGTTGTTCCTCTGAGCCCAGAGCTTTTTTCTTCAAGATCCTCTTAACTAAAACAGACTTTCAACTGTGGCTGCAACTTGAGCTCTGAGGAGCATCTCTGTTCAAAAGAACTTGGAATGCTCCCCATCTGGCTGCTGTCATCTGGGTACTGAGGGTTAACTTTTCAATACTTTTCATCATGAAGGAAGCAGGAAAGGTACAATATTTGTGCATTTCACAAACTCCTTGTAACACCTTTTTCCCCATCTGTGAGTGTTTTGGGGTCTGTGAGCTCAATACAGGCATTATTCAGCAGCACACAGACAGCACATCTTAATCACTCTCCACAGTATAAAAAAATTCTAAACCCAAAACTCTTAATTTTCTAAGGGAAAAAATTCAACTTCATTTTTCTTAATCATTCATTCTTTTAACTGTTTTTACTCATGCCCTCTAGTACTCTTCTAAGCATTTGAATAGAACTTTCAACGAGTGCATCAGATTCAGAGTTATCAATGTGCTCTAACAGCAGCAAAACCCAACCAACCACTGACTTCTCTTTCTCTTCATGAGCAACTCCTTGAAAGAGTCAACCACAAACCAGTTATTCAAGAGGCAAGATGGTACCCAGATCAGTTACCCTTTCTTCACTTTGCCCTACTTGGCAAATAGGGCCAACCTATATCAATCTTGAATATCCTTTCTAGCTCTATACATCTGTAATTCTGAAACTTATTCAGAAATGAATACAACAAGAAAATCCTACCATCTCAGCTCAGTTCTACAACTAAATGCTTTTCAAATACCTCCCTGGTGTGGTTCAGTATGGCCATTTTGTGAACTCCTAAAACTTAGGTACAGATTTGTACAATAATAAAGCCATCCTGGTCACAGACTGACAATTCTCAAGTCCTGGCTGCAGAAAGCCCTATTCGTAGGCCTCTTAGCTCCAAAGAGCAAATTTTAAAAAGGCAAAATTTCTCCTTGGAAAACCACAAATATTCTTTTGGGAATCAGTAAGAACCAGAGGACTCTTTGTGCCTTATATATCATGTACTTCTTTCTCTCTCCTATTTAAACAAATCATTTCTTATCTTCATTTTCAAGGATATTAATGTGAGACCCCATGCCTATGGCAAGTTGACACACACAAAGATGTATGGAAACAGAATCAAACCCACAGGTGTGCTCTATATTTTTTGCCTGCTTCTGGGTCTTTGAGTAGGGTGACCATAAAGAATCTAAACAGAAAAAACAAACAACTGAGTATAAAAGGAGCTGCTAAAAGTTAACAGGCATTAAGTGACCTATGATCTAAACCAAGACTTTCCCATGCAAACAGTACTGTTCCAAGCAAACTGCATGTTACTAATATATAAGCAATATTAAAAGCTCACAGAGAATCCATAACAAATATATAGACATGATCAGAGTTGGCCTACATCCCCTTTAAGGAAATGGATAAATCAGACTCATACCCTCCTGGTATTCCTCCTGGTTCTCTGGTTGCTTCTTCTCAGTCTCCTTCCCTGGCCTTCCTCTCCCATCTAAGCTGATGGATTTCCTTTGAAATCTCTTTCTCTCTAGACCTAATTCCTTTCCTCCTTGCTTTATATTCTCTCTCAAGGCAAGGAGATCTACACTCTAGGCTTTAAAAAAACATAGGAATCTGTACCTTCAGGACAAACCCCACTTTTGACCTCCACACTTAGACCCACATGTAACTGTCTTCTTAGTGTGAGGCTTCTCAAACTGAATATAAGCAAAGTGAACCCATGACCTGTTCCATCCCATTCTCCCAAACACATGCTCTCTCCCTCTGTAGTCTCAAAGGCCTTCAAGCATCCCTCACCCATCTATGTATCTGGTATCCCTGATCCCCAAATGACCAAGAACTGCTGTGGCTCCTAAGTGTATCTTAAATGTGTTCACTCTCTCTGTCTCCATTTCCTCCACCTCCTCCAAGCTCCCATTGCCTTGCCCAGAGAGTAGGCTCTTCTACAAAGGTTTTCCAGCCTTTGATACTTCTCCATCTCCACTAGTGTGTCAACTCACTTCTTGCCCAATCCATTTGCTTTTAGGAGACCAGAATAACCTTTATAAGATGCACACATGGAATTATATCACTCCTAGTTTAAAATTTTTCCTGGGCCCTCACTGCTTCTAAGACTGTGTTCCCAATCCTTAATAATGCAGCAAATGCCAAGCTTCCTCTGTTTCTCATAGATGGAGTCCCTTCCCACATTTTGGCTTTCTTATTTTCTCATACTTTTGTCTAAAATAGTTCCTGCCAGGGCTCCTTACATTCTAGCACACACACATACACATTCCCTTTTGTCTACTTCCTATCCATCCTTAAAGCTCAGTTTAAATGCCATTTTCTTGGAGAAGCTTTTTCTGGCCACCTAGAGTAGGTGCCTTATATATAGTGCACCTGTATCTTATCTTCATTAGTGACTCTTTAGTGTTTACCTGCCCCCAGCAGGATGTCTACAAGGGTAAGAGACAACTCTGTGTCAACTCTTGTATCTTAAGGCCCAGAACAGAGTTTGATATTTAAATTTTTAAGAAAGTATATGTAACCAAAAGAAGGAAAAACAGGAAGAGAAAGAGGTGAGACAGAAAGTATTCACAATCCTATAGCCCTGCCTGCATTCCCTACCCATTTTGATTAGGCTGAAATTACAAGATATAGAAGTGAAGTGATAAAAGATAAAATAGGAGGATGAAGATGGGAATAATGAGCAAAGAAGTAAAAGGATCACTACATGATGGCTTTGGGTATCTTTAAAAACAAAGTAATAAGACAGCTTTTTGGAAAAGTTGGTATGCTATCTTCTATTTTTATCTCTAAAATGTTCCACGTGGAGATAATATCCCAGAAAAAAGGAAAATACATGAAATGAAGGGGAAAAATAAAGGCACATAGCATTCATGAACTCTGGCTTCCTCCTCCACAAAGTTGTAAAATAAGGTGACCTTGGAGGTGTCCTCTGGTTCCTATGATGGGCCTTTGTAGTAACACAGAGCCCAAGGAACACACTTAATGCAGCCACTGCTGGCACCTTAGCAAAACTGGCATGTTCCCATACACGTAAGAACAACACAAACATGATTCCTTCAGAGCCCACTGTGAAAATGTCATTGTCTGAGAAGGGAAGACTTTCGCCCTGCCTGCAATGAGAAAGTCACCTCAAAATCAAACTTTTGTGAACAGAACAAGTACTAAACAAGGAAGCAATCCTCTGAATACAATGACTTAAGGATGTGTAACTAAAATGGTCTGGCAAAAGCAATTCAGAAATAGAAATATCAACTAGTCTGGACCTACTTTCCAAACTTTTCAGTTAAAACATCATTCTTCATGTTACACTCATGTTTCCCTCTACCCAGTACATTTTAGACATTGGTATTTCCCATTTCCTCACTCTCCCTTTCTGATCTCATCTTTTGTCAAGAAGAGAGACAACAGACACACCCAGAAACAGGCAAAATTAGGATGCAAATATATTAACTGACTGGGTAGCTTCAGAGATCACTGCTCATGAAACAGGTGTATGTCCATCAACAGCAGCAATTATAATGCATAACATAAAGGCAGACACAAATCTCATGAAGCAAACCAGGAGCAGTTTGTTATGTTGGCCAAAGCCAATGATAGTCCTATTGTGCATAAACTTTGAGAAACAAACTGAAGGATGATTTGTGTTCATTGTAAAATTTGTCAACGTAGCTACTGCTATAAATTTGTGGATTTACTCAATGTGGCTGCTGAGTGGAAAAGCACAAGGTAATAATTCTCCTCAGAGAATATCTCTGAGAAATGGCCCAGGCCTCAAAAGAACCATAAATCTGTTCATTAGTGCAAGCCAAAGTTACATGAGACTAATCAAGGAGTCTTTTCATTAGTAGTATGTGCCAAAACAACAAATGCACAGGCATTAAAAGAATAACAAAGATCAGAATTTCACATTACCATGAAATGTTTTCCAGACTACTTACATCAGTGTCAGGTCCCTTATCTGCACCCGGACAAGAAAAAGTAACAAATTCATGGCACCTCTTGTGAACCACAAAACAGCAAACTGGTGGAGAGAAAAGAAAATAAAAATTAGAATGCTCTAGATATATAAGCAGGAATCAAAATTTAAAGTACAGTATTTTTCATTGTCCTATACCAAACACACACACACACACACACACACACACAAAAGTATTTGTAAACATTACATATCCGGTGGGTAAAATAAAAATTAAATACAAAGAGAACAATTTAGTATAAATTTAAAAATGACTATCTCTAACTGTTGGCTGCAGGGCTTCTTCAGCGGAATTCTGAACATAAGAAATTCATTGCAATACTAGCCTAACCTATAGACAACAATCTGTTGAAATGAAAACTAGTTGGGGTGCAACCTAACATCTTCTAGTCTAATATTTGCCTGTTTGGTACAGATGTTGTTACCAGTTAGGAGAATCCCTACAAATAGAGCAAAATTTACTAAAAAGCAAGTATTTTCCAAGTCAACATGGTTTTGGTAACTAATCCTGAAGATGAATCAATAAAATAATTTAATTGTTTTTTAAAAATTTTTATTTTATTGGTACATTTTAGGTATACAATATAATGACATTCATCATTGGAAATTTGCACCTTTACATAATCTCTCTTGGTTCTTATTTTTTCCCCTTCCCCTGCCCTCCCTTCAACCCTCCATCCCTCCCTATTTACAAAGATTTTGTTTCCATTTTTTCCTTTTCTCATATTAATTCCATTCCCTTCTTTCCTTTCCTGTACTCCTCCCACTCTTCCCCTCTGCCCCTTTTCTTCCTATTTCACATTATCTATTATACCTTTTAGTCCTTATTTACACTTTCAGTTTCTCACACTAGAGAAACTATTTGGTATTTACACATGTGTCCTATTTATTTCACTTAAGAGTATGGCCTCAATGTGCATCCATTTAGCTATAAATGTCTCTAATTTCTCATTTTTTATGACTGAGTAGTACTCCATTTTATAAAAAAACCACATTTTCTTTATCCAGTCTCCAGTTGATGGGCAACTGGGCTGCTTCCAACTTTTAGCTTAAAATAATTTAATTGTTAAGAGAAATGAGTAAGTAATCCCTAAAGAGTTTTCTCAGATGACATAATATGGAGGATACGAAAATAAATGACCTGGTGTTTGAGGAGCAACCTCTACCATACTACTTGTATTTGCTGAGTAACAAATATGCCTACAAATAATACACTGTTAGAAGCATTGGGAAAGTTCTACATTCTATTGCATGGTCTGGTTTAGAATATTTGTTCCTTCCAAAACCCATCTTGAAATCTAGTTGCCATTGTCGTGGTTTTGGGAGGCAGAACCGTGGGGAGGCTGCTAGGCCATGAGGTTTTAACCATCATGGATGGGATTAATGACATTACCCAGTCTTGGGTATTCTGTTACAGCAGCAGAAAGGAACTAGGACACTGAACAAAGAAGACTAGAACTTCTCAAATTCTTGGCTCATGCACTATTTTCTTCTTTCACCCATGATAAAGCAACTCCCTGCACACATGTTGATAAATGGAGATTCAAGAGAGTGAGTCATGTCAGTGGGTGGGAAAGGACAGCAAGTTTGCTGAGAGCTGAAATCCCAAAAGGAGATTAAGTACTAAGCCAAGTACTGAGAGACTGCTTAGAAGGCCTTGAGTGGCCACAAAGAATTCAGAAAATATCTGATAAACACTGGAAGCTACTGAAAGGTTTAGAACAAAGAGTAACACACAAAGCAATGATTCAGAAGTGCAAATGGGGTGACAGGAAGAATTTGAAGGTTCAGTTAGAAGCCTCTTGCACAGCCTAGGTATGAAAATAATTGCCCATCATTGTTCAAGCTACTAAAAAACAGAGGTAATGATACCAGAGAAATTCCAGAACTGATAAGACTTGCTGACTGACCACACAATACCATTTAGAGAGCATCCTACTGTGTGCTGGGCATTCTATTAAGTCCCTTCATATGTATTATCAAATTGAATCCTCACAAGAACACTATTTAATATGCTTTGATATCTACATTTTTTGGATGGGAAAACACTGGGTAGATCCCCAGAGTCCAGCACACTGTAAGCATACACTTTCTGAATGAGAGAGAAGAAGGGAGGTATGGACAACAAAGAGACAGATGGATAGACCAACAGATAGAGGAGAGTCTTATCTGAGGTCACCCATCCACTCTGTGGTCAAGCCAAGATTCATAATAACGACTGGTCGACTCCACAGCCTCTTTTCCTTCCTCCATGTCATATCCAATGATAGGATTTCAGTTACAGAAAGAATATTAGAGCTGATGCCAAGATTTTTCATATGGGTGATAGAAACAACAAAATATTTACATATGTACACACAAATTTATATAAACCCAAAGGATGAAGATATGGGTTTGCCATATTTTGGAAGAAATGAGGGATGATTTTCTTTCTCAATAGTTATCTTTTAAAGTAGCTGTAATACAATGTCACTGTAAAAAGTATACATTCTTTAAAAAAAGAAATGCATCCTTGGCATTGAATAAGCCAAGAGCTAAATGAGTAAGTAGGAACCATCCACAGAAAAGTTAATAAATGAAAATCTTTTACAGTGAGCCTCCCTTTAGAAGTGAAGCTGCTCTGGGTGAAGGATTCTCTAGGGCTGCCACAGACTACCTGCCAAGCCAAGCACACCTGCTTGCCATGCAGTCAGGAGCAAGAGGTGAGGGGAAAGCAGAGACAGGAGCCCCCCTGGCTGCCAAGCAGTGCTGCTTAGAGGAGCCCCCTTTCTACCTTGTTTCTGCCAAATGCATCTTGATTGCAAAATTCTCCAAGGACAGATAACAAAGCAGTGCCGTGAAGACACAAATTAATCTAATCTGCACACTCCCCCAGACACAAAGTCATCTCTCACTCACTGGAATTAAAAGATCAATTACTAAAGGAAAGAGGTTACAGCAGTGTTACTCCCTCATCATAGTTTATTATGGAGATGGTGTTTTGAAGGAAAAATAAGCATTCTCGTTTCCTACTCAATCATTCAAACATTCAAGTCTTTCTCTCTTTTTTTTTTAAACCATCTCTACATTGAGATGAATACTGTTAAGAAAACCCATATTTATCAAATCCCTTTGGAATGACAATTTGGTTTTGTATATGTCATTTCTATCTGCATTTACACATCAATGCAATTACATACCTTTAGCTGGAAGTGTTTCTATTTATACCTCAAAATATTTTCTTATTTCAAATTTTATTTTGGAAATGAACCCAGCCCTCATTGGCTGGTATAATTTGCAGGGGCAGCAACATCTCCACCTAACCACAGATTGCTTCCTTCAAGCCTGCCTTAGCAGCCCCCTCCTCTCCATCCTCACATGGAAACTTCCCCTTTCTATGAATAGATTCATTCAAAAGGAGGCAGACCGAGCACCTGGATGGAAGCTCCCCCGCTGCCATCCCAAGCTCCTAGGGCAGAGAAGCTGAGCTGGGCCCAGCACCCAGAAGGAAGCTCCCCTGCCGCCATCCCAAGCTCTTAGGGCAGAGAAGGTGAGCCGGTCCAAGAACCCAGAAGGAAGCTCCCCTGCCACCATCCCAAGCTCCTAGGGCAGAGAAGGTGAGCCAGTCCCAGCACCTGGAAGGAAGCTCCCCTGCCACCATCCCAAGCTCCTAGGGCAGAGAAGGTGAGCCAGTCCCAGCCCCCGGAAGGAAGCTCCCCCGCTGCCATCCCAAGCTCCTAGGGCAGAGAAGGTG